ATATTAGAGTCCATAGTTGAAAGAGGGGTAACCTCTTTTTCTTGCACTTAGCACGGCCAAAGACAATGCCTCTATCAAATTGCCCCCTTTAGTAGCTGTTTCGGCACTTAGACAACAGCTGAAAGCTCGAATGCGCAGACACACACGGGCGAACCGTTCGAATGAGGGTCCAACTTCCCCAATGCAGGTAATGTAACCTTAGCTGAGGCTACGTCAAATACAACGATAGCGGCAGCAAAAACAGATTTAACATTACGTTCTGATGACTGGATGCGTGTGTGTGCGATTCATGTGAACCAGTGAGCCATTCTTCGTCCGCTTGAACCGCCGTAGCTGTAGCTGTAACGGACAAACACGAGCCCACCACACGTCGCAGGTAACAGCGGCTAATCGGGCTTATTTATGCTACGCCAGGCTGTCAAATCGTCTCCACTAGGTACACACAGAGCTACTATTATTATAATCATCACTAGCAGCAGTAAACCACGGTTACTGCCTGCATTTCTCTGTTCCTCTAGATGCTTACTAATTTCTTCAAATTAGTTATCGACTGTTTTTTCGTTAAACGCTTATGCAAAGGTAGACGCCTGATCGTTTTGTCCATTTCTTTTGAGGTACTCATTAATTGTAAAAAAAGTAAAAAGCTTTCGTTTCTAACTTGAATAGCTTTAAAATAGCTTAGTTAAAGCCTAACTCCTAATTAGCAAGCGTAATATGGAATCGCACATGTACTAGAATATAACAAAAATGTATGCTTTTTTTCGAACCATTCCCTTGTCACTTGAAATTTGCTTAATTTCTTCTAAAGTAAACGTAGAATCGACTTATTGTCCCAGTGTCTATCTGATGACTGGCTAATAGTCATATTGCCTAATCTCGAACGATCGAAATATCTTTTGAGGCACAGATGATACGCCGCGTCATAGCGTATCATGGATGCGTTGATCATAAATACCCCCCCCCCCCCCCATTAGAACAGAAAATATGACGAGATAACGGGGATTCACCGCAGTTTGCTGCAGTTCTGTGCCATAGACGAATCGTATGATGTATGACAAATAGGAAGGAATTTTTGAACTATTTTCAGACACGTAGTATTTCTAGGCACGAGTTGTAGCAGATGGCAATCCAATCGGGTTGGGATGACGCCCATTGAATCTGATTAATTTCGCCATCTGCCGTGTACGCCAGAATCGGATCTTCGATGGCACGCGGCATCTGCTGGATGTCCCAGATTAATGCCTGCAACAACCACGCAGCAAAAGAGGTACGGATATGTGCAGTGCAATGTAATGCCTGTATAATCGGTAGTCTGACGTTGACTTAGCAGACACGCAGCTATATAATACTATATAGTGGAGGTCTTTTATCTAAAAGGTATGTTATAGTAGTGAACTATTATACCTGGCGATCATCCGCGGCAGTGCAAATGTGACACGAAGAATGCGGTGCCCAGGCAACTCCGTTTACGCAAGCTCGGTGATTGTTGAGTCGTGCGACGGGCGTACACGGTACGCGAACATCAAGGATGATCACATCGCACGCATCCATCGCGAAAGTGGCTAAATAGTTAGGATCCTGCTTATTCCTGTAGACCAATAATTCATCAAAGCAGCAAAAAATGAGCCAAATCAGTATGGTCAACTTGGTAACATATCTGATATCCACCTGATCTGAACTGAGGCATTCAATAGACAAGTAACTTCCAGGGTCACTCAAGCAATAAGCCAAATTCTATGGTTCTACTTAACGTACTACCGTTTGCGCTACATTCTACTTTTCATATTTCGCGGGTTTCGAGTTGACGTATTGCTTATAGATTCGTCACCAACTCAGGGAACCTACACTAGATTTGGTACAAGCTACACAATTTAGTACGGCTTATTTAGTCACCAGAGAAATTAGTATCACCAGGTTACCACACATTTATAGCACTTTAGAGCCTAACCATGCTAATCGCAATAGGGGATGATGTCCAGCGTCCTCGTAGATGATGGTCGAATGCTCGAGGTGCCGAAGGTCAAACATTCGTACGCTCCCGTCAGCTCCGACGGACGCAAACATGTCTCTGCCTCCACCGGCGCGACTGAAGGCAATGTCGTATACCTTATAACAGACGAAAAGTAAATACTAGTTTCGTGTGCAAGTGGTTTAGAAAATGAACTTCTTCAGATCCAAGAAACTTCAACGCTCCATTACAGGAAAGTTCCATGAACATTATTCTCGGATCACACATCTGATATTCAATTCTGCTTTGCAATTATAATGTTATTATTATTCTTATCTTATCAGGTTACTAATCCTATATTTTATGAACGTACCTCTTTATCATGGGCGATGAGTTGAGTTCTTACATGTCCTTGGACGCGTCCGCCCACCTAAAGGCGTTATCGTTATTGACTATCGTTAAAAACAGCTTAAAAGAAAATAAAACTTAGCAGCGAGATAACTACGTCATCAAATGCATATCAATAAACTTCATATACTCGCAGTCGATCTCGCCGGGCCAAGAGATGAGTCCTACTGTATTTAGCTAATGTATCTTAGTCCTACAAAAGGTATTCCTTTTATTATATAGTAAAGTCCTTGCCTGGCCTATGACTTGTCCAGTTTCAAGTCCCCATATAGTACAAGTGGTATCTATTGAGGAAGTGCCTAATAAGTTGCAGTCCACTTCGTTCCAGTCAAATGATGTCAAGGGGGCACAAAATTCGCTGTGCTTATTCTGCAAGAACAACAAGAACATATGAATACAAATGAACACATTTTTGTGGACACAAATCAAAAACATTTTCAAAAGCAAAGAAATGAATTGTCTATCGAATAACGCAACATCGAAGTGATTTCGTTAAAGAGTTCGATGATCGGCCTGAAAAATAAGGTATGGGCAGGAACCTCAACAGGAAATTTCCAAAAAAACAGTGTATCATGAGGATAGACCTTGGCTACGATTCTTAGTTTTCTAGATTTCTTTAGCTCACGCTCGAAGAACCCATTTTCTAACTAAATAGGGTCAGCAACACAATATAGACCCTGTCATACATTGTTAAGAAGGCACTCGAGTCTTGTCGCTGCATTATCGTTGCCCTGTGGCTGTTGAGAGGGGTCGCCAACCCTCCAGACGCGAAGGTAGTCGCCCGAAGTGGCTAGCAGATCCGGCATGGCACCCTTGGCATCCGGGATCCACATAAGCTTCGTCGTTGGATAGGGGTGTTCGAATGTCGAGCGGGCCACAAATTCCGAACTCTCCTCATCAAGGGAAACGATTTGGACCTGCACAAACACAGACACGCACAAAAACGTAAAAACAATATATATACGTATAGTGCACAAACGTACAGCACCGAACAGAGTAAAATGAAAAATATTAGAAAAATTATACTACGTAGTAATAACTATATTGGACAACACTTTTAATCTCAAAAAAACATCACAGAATATATTATACAATATACATTGTTCGCGGTTATGGAGCATTCAGTAGGGTACAGAATTTAGAATCAAAAAGTTTTGCTTCTGGAGGGAGTGCTATCTAATACTTGCAAATTTGTTAATAATGCAAATCATCATTATTGTTATATATTATTACTATTGCCATACTTTATCGTAATGAAAATGAGACCTAATGAAAGCATAAGCATTGAGATTCTCTAAAACCATAACGTTACTTACTCGACTTATAGACGCCACAAAGCTTCGCTTTGCTTAAAAAGGCACTAACTGTGATATAATGCGGAGAATGGGGAAAGCGAGGAGTCGTTTGAAATATGAAATATGTGATTTTGTGGCTGACTTATCGGGAAGGGCGCCCACACTCTCACTCACGCGAAAAATGGACTGCCTTGACGGAACGCTCTAAGTATCAAAATAATTCCACTAAACGTTGATATATAAATATAAGCAAAGAATCCAAAACACTTACCTTATTATTATACTCCTCAACGAAGCTACCGAGCGCCAATCGGAATCGTTTATCCTGCCGAACGCTCCAGTTCATTGAATACACGGTCCACGGAGCCTCATACTTGTAAATCTCCTTGCGCTTCGCCATCGGTCGAGCGTTTTGGGGGCAGCTTTCAGTGCTATATATAATTCAAGTTATTCCTTGATTCAAACAACAATAAGCAGGTCGGCCTTTTACTTTTCAGATTTATGTCTCCCTCATCGAACCGACGTGTGAAGTGACGGATTCACACCAACGAGTTTCACTTGCCTTCGAGAGAAGGAATGTCGAACAGCACGAACCAGTCGAAGATTCGATTGAACTTTTTTCGAATGTACGAACAGCGAGCGGAGCACGGGCGCTTACTTACACACTCATTTTAACACTCTCACATACATAAAAACAGTGAGTCAGTTGAATTTTTGCATCACTATTACGGTTACTGTTTGATATAATTTATTTAGTTGCCGGTCGCATAGCCTTTAGTATCAGTAGAAGTAATACTATTAAACTGTGTTTAAATACCGCGGTAATGTCTTCGACAAGAGCCCAGAATTAAGATAGTAACTGGACAGGTTACAGCTGGTTAGCAACGATTTCATCTAACTGAAAAGTTCAGGTGCTCGATTCAGTCGAACCAATCTGTTTGTTTAGGCTCTGATGGGGCGCTAAGGCTGCACCACGGCATATAGACTTATTCCCCTCATGCGGAAACCGTGCACACGCTTCAGGGAGTTAGGCCGTTAAGTTAAAGGAAAAAAGAGATAATTAGATACTGCTCCTATTCACAGTTGCAATCACAAACAGCCATAATTCTATCTTAATATAACCAATCCTATCCGTCAAATGTACTCAGAATATTTTTGATGTTGTTTGTGTGTGTCTATGTGTGTGTGAAATCAACTCCCGTCGGCAGCAATCAGACCCTCGTCGCTAATAAACAACACAATAACAGTACCATGGCTACCATCACCGCTCAGATAGCACACAAACAGCATCACTCGCAGGCGAGTCTACAACACAGATAGACAGCGGCGATAAACACAACTCCATGTAGCAGCTACGGACAGACCGCGGATCCGTCGGCTGTTTTGTCACAAAAAGCTTCATCAGTCCAGTGGACTCTGGTGTATTATATCAGATATAAACGAGGCTGTAAAAAAATAGCTTAGTTTTACACACAAGCAATTAAATTCTTCGGTTGCATTATAATAATGTACGCCTCTCAAAAGGCTGTGATTGGCTCATCCTAACGTCTTATTCTCAAAGACATGCAATTGCATTCTTGATTGCTACGGCGAATTTGTAAACCAGATAATGCATTTTTTGCTATTCCTCGCACTTTATTCAGTATTACGAAACGTGTGAACCATGGCAGGTTTTTAATAACCAATAAAATACAACAGATGCTTGTTTTCATTGCATGTCCTTATTTTTTTTGCATTGACAATTTACCGTACTGGTCTGGCTGTTCCGCTGTCCGCGCAATAATTACGTGCACTTCATCTGAACGAAGAGCCTGCAGCTGTTGGTGTCTTCGGAGCACTGTTATGCGGTATGCAACGGAGTTGATTGTATCCTGGTTGCAAACACAGTGCATGTATGTATGCCGACTTCCTGGTGTGCTACTGTTACAATTGCATTCGGTACAGGGCTGGCAGAGGAGCCTTAAATAGCCTGGAACAGTTAAACGTATACGCTGGCAACACTTACCGGAACTGCGAACGCATACTTATAGCTGTAAATTGTTGAAAACAGTAGCGGCTGTGCCCTATTAACCGTGTATTTACTAAGTGATATCGGTGATTGTGTTTAGAAAGGCAGTGAGTAAACAGCAGAAAAAAATTCCGGATCTATCTGAGTGTCGCGTAACGGTCGGAAAGCCACCGGAAAGAAAAGTGCCTGGTGGGCAGAACTGTGGAATAAGAGCGAGGTACAAACGAAGATACAACGGCAACAAGCAGCCTCGAAAACAAACGCTGGTAGCAACAAAATGAGCGGAAGCTCGTTTCATCTACCAGACTGGCAGTGCCCGGATGAAAAGTATGCGAGCCACCACTGTAACAGCGATTATTATTATTAATAAGAGCCAATGAAATACTTTTAAACATCAACATCTGGGGTTTGCTCCTAGTTAAATATTGATTTATAGAAGAAATTATTGTCACGAGACGGCTAAAATATAACCTCTATCTCTTGCAATAAAATTAGATAAAATGAACCGAAAAAATGCGTACAGGCGCAATGTGATAGTGTGATGATCAAACTAGCACTACGCACGTACGCGCTTAGCAAAAAGGAATTGATAATTATAACCCAATGCGACAGCCAGTAATTGTCAGAATACGTGGAGAGATTACACGGCCCATTTTGTGGATAATACAATGTCGCACACGTATTAACAAATATAAGGACGGAAGGCTGCTTCGCTAGAGAGACTAGATCTAGAAAAGTTAAAAGAAACGTGTTTTCTATAAAAAATTCCAATGACGCAGAGGTCTGTTGTGCGCATAATGGATCATACGAATTTCATCTATATGCGAAATGTTTACGAACAACTATTGGAATTTGTTTGCAAGAGGTTACTTTATTTTTTTTAAAACTCTCAAATAAGCACGAGTCATCGCCCTACATCATGCAAGATTCTTCAAAAGAGATGATGTCCATCATATGGTGCTTTCAGCAAATGAAGCGTGCGCTTCTGTTGCTGTTTTTGTTTTTTGTTTCGAGTCTCTCTCTCTCTTCCTCTTCGAGGGCTTTTGAAGAGTTTTTAAATTGTCATCGCATCCACCAGGATTTACTCTGCACTTCAAAGATGGCTTTCTTTGAGAGTCTGGTTTAGGTTCTAATCGAGTAGGGTTTTGTGTAAATGGCAGTGCATATCTAAATTTTGTGTTGACCACTGGCGTCGTCACTTAATGTAATTACTAGTTACGGCATTTCATTGATGATGTGATACCGATTTTATATTGTTAATGAGCTCGGTTGTGTGTGCTGCCAATGATGTGTCGCTTTTTCAGGTGCAGAAACGTCAATTTTGGAAAGAGAACAGCGTGCAACCGGTGTGGCGTTTCTAGGCCTCGAGGTACTTTCCCTTTCATGAACGGCGTCAGTTTTCGTAGAGTGGATAATATGAGCATTTACAGCGACTTGATTTCTTACAAAGCTAGCGGTTTCTTTAAAAAAAAACCTGTAACAATAGTATTCGTTTACGAAAAGTTGCGTACCGCATTTTGAGTGTAATCAAACGATTTCTTTCTGTTTTCTGTAGTCTGTAAGCCATCAGACTGATCAACGACTGGTCTCTAACGAACATCCACATGAGTTTATGAATTCTAACAAAATGAAAGGTAGAAATGTCTTGCTGATGCTTCGTCCAGTATTGTTTAGATATTAATTAAACTAATGAACTTTCGGTTTTCAGAGGTTCTTGTAAACGCTACGAAGAAAATTGGCCATGAAATCGGAAAGCAAGCGGCCGAAAAAAGTCACGGGCTTTTTTCTGCTGACGACTGGCAGTGTGGAAAATGCGGCAACGTCAACTGGGCCCGACGGAATAATTGCAACATGTGCTCTGCCCCAAAGGTGCGCTACTAGTAATATTTGAATAGACAATTTTTTGGTCAAGTCAAACAAGACATTATTTAAAGATATGCATTGTTACGAGCTTGTATTACTTTAAATACTCTGAGTTATGAGTCAGAAATTAGGTTCACCCTATCGTTTTGTATCTAGATGTAAGGAGAGGTTTGAAGTAAGCTGAAGGAGAGACATTCACGAAGTCTTCAATTTTCAGCTTAAAGTTCATTGGCATTGAAGAAAGGCTGCCTAATATGCCCGAATTTACCAGATTTGAAGCTAACATTTGTTTACCTGTTACTGATGGTTTGTCTATTCTTTGTTTAATCTAGCAAATCTTTAATCTAGCTTAGCGTGTAGTAGAAGGTTTGAAGGAGTGACTCGTGGGTTTTTTCAGTCGGAGTTTTAGATTAAGATTCAGGTTGCTCATAACTAAAACTGGCTATTACAATTATTGCGTTACAATAAATCGCGCAGTTGCGCATCCTCGGTAAGGATTTTAACGCTTTGGTTATTGACAGTCGTAAATCTCATAAATTTGTTTCTTGCGATCTCAGGTAGGCGAAGTAGAGCGTCGCACAGGGCTTGGTGGGGGCTACAATGAAAGGGAGGGTGTCGAGTATAAACAGCGGCCAGCGAACGAATCAGATGACGAGTACGATGATGTAAGTAATCTAATTTAATCAGTGTAATCATAAGAACAATGTGTTGTTCAAACACAAGTACGGTTATACTATATAAAAATCGATCGACTATTTTGACCATGTCCATTATTTTAACTCAGCCGCCCAGTCCAATTTATTAGCATTATATCATTCCCCACGTTTATTTCGTTTTCTTTATAGTTTGGCCGTAAGAAACGCCGAAAACCCAAAGACTCGGACTGTAGCAACTCGAATTTGACGCGAGATCGGTCACGTTCACCCCTCGGCAATTCGGCGCAGGGTCGTCGCGACAACCATGACGACGACAACGATGGAGATGATATTGAAAGACAAGAAGAAAGAGAGCCTCGTCCTTCAAAAGATAACGGCCGAGATTGGGAACGAGCCCGAGATAGGGATCGTAATCGCGAACAGGACGAAGAGGAAGATGAGAGTGATAATGATCGCGACGACGACGATGATGAGGATGATGACGATGACGACGCCGATCTGTCGAAGTATGACCTGCTCGCGTGAGCGAGGCATGGCAGCAGTGTTGGTACTGATATTGATCGACCATTATGGAAAGTAAACGTACTTTAATTAGGAAGCTCAGAAGGAGCATAGCCACCGGTGAAGTGCGCTGCCTGCGACAAAAAACATGCACTGCAGGGGAGCAAACAGAAAATAGCACGAATGGCGACCTTCATAAGGAAAACAGCAGACCATAGTGGTTGTAGTGGATAAAAACCTTGCAGAATCACAACAACAACAATAACAGTAACAATAGGAAGAAAAGTAATAACAATTATTTGTTTGCAGACAACAATAGTGATAGAATATATATGTTCATGGGGGGACCTCACCATTTCGTGAGGCAGATTAAGGTAATAAAAAGGACACAGTAAAATGAAGAGAGCCTTCTAGCAAAGCTCATTGACAAGAGGAAATCTATGACATTATGGGTGACAGGCTTAGCAAAGAACTTATAACAATGCCTTAGAGAAAAAATCAATGTGCACCACATTAACTTTTTCTATCATTCTTTAAAATTAAGTAATTTGAAACTGGATTTTTTGTTGCTATAACGAACCTACTAAGGACCAAAAAAAACTGTCTCTTGCTCAGAAGATGAAGAGTGCAGGTGAACGCTCGTAAGCGATTGGAGTCGAAGGAATTGATTTTGTCGTTTATTTTTGTAATCAAATATATATAGAGAGAGATGTAGGAAAACAAATTATATGGTTTGTTTTCACGGTGTGAAATCGAGTAACATGGTAGGAGAAAAAAACGTAAAGATGATGATGTTAGGTTTTCCTATTGGTTCCGTCGACATCGGTATCAACAGTTGAGACTATACCCAGTTTGACACATATAACTGTGGAGTAGATATTTGCGCACACAAACATTATGGGCTTTCGGCCACCTTCGACGTGATCGCAAGATTACCCGATCATAGCTGATAAACCCTACAAATCGCCCTTTTTCGTATTCAGTCTTATAGGTGATGGTAATAGATAAAGCCCGACTTACGAGAATCTATATAACTGTCATAAACGGGCAGTTTTTTTTACAAAGAGCCTATAAGCTTAAGTGTATAATACAGATACCTTTTTTTTTAGTGTGAATAACGGTAATACACATCTGATATACACGTACGGATTTAGTGAAAGTGATATACTCGGGTGAAATAGAAGCTCAGTTCTTTAACTTTTCGTATTATGTGAGCTGGGGGATAGACAAGCCCAAATATATTTGAGCGGAAGGAAGACTGTTCAGTGATGAAAATGTCTGTGGAGAGGCACTTTGTGAATACAAAAGCTAAATCGCAGCAATATACACAGCAGCCGACTAACTTGGTGTTTAAATAGCAGGATATTCATCCCCCGAAAAAAGGAGATATGCGTCACTGACTATAATGTGTTGCATTTTTTCAGTTTTTCGATCTTATTTTTTCCTATTTCAGCCCTGAATTACTGCAGTAATACGAACAAAAACCGTAAAATTGCATTTATGTAACAAGCGTTTGCCAATTTGTTACTCTGGTAAGGAAAGATAGCAAACAACATCAAGTAGATGAAAAGGCTAAAAACGGGCTTGCATAATGGATTTGTCATCGTTGTCATTGTGCAAAGTAGCTGTTGAACTAAACACTGAGTTCCGAATAAGATAGCTCGACTTAACTTAAAACTAGAACAGTGTGGGTGTTTGGATAAACCACTACATGACTTACCACGTCACAATGATGAACGAACAAAGCTACAAAAGAGGGTGGACTGTATTTGTACTAATACACCCATTGTATATTTTTCTGTAAAATAAAACGGTTACTCTGATAATAATAGTGTTACGTAAAAAAGAAAGGACGCCGGATAATGTGGAGTGTTTACGCCCCCGCTGCGTATACTCGTATTAGGGGCTTAGTAATACATTCGCACCTTGTGTGAATGTATAGCCGACTTCATGCTGATGCAGCCCGTTAGAGGGTTTCAGCATGAGGGTGACGCAGCATACGTTACTGCGTGGGACGCTACAACCTGATGGGAGGCCGCGTATACATACGCAAGTACTCCTTTCAAGTGCGATCCCAATGAAGTGGGTCAAAAATTCGTATCACAACTGTGGCTGCTGCTGTAGCAGCATAAGGCCTTAAAAATCTGACAAGAGAAAAAAAATATGAAATACTGCGATCCTGTACAGTTGACAGCACCAACTATATCAAAACTATGGAACTAGGGCTAGAAGGAAAGTAGTGGAAACAGATCAACTATATATTCAAAATATAGAATATCATAAACTTTATGAATCAAGTTACAAACGGAGAAATAAAAGAGTAACATTTCATTATTTAACATGCATGCGGTTTAGAAATTTGTCATTCAGTAAATATATTGTTAGTCGGTGTATGCAAGAAATTGGCATAGACTCGTCGATCTGGGCTGTTAAAGATCAGAACGACAAACCTGTTCCAGCTAATATTTGTTGTCATGTGTTGTGGTCAGTTTAAAATTGATTCGAATTTTGTGTGATAAAGAATAGGGTAAATGTGACACACATATATATATATAAACATGATTCAAAAAAGGAATACTATTCTACTAAATTTTGCTCCTCCAGTCGATTGGTAAATTAATGAATTGTAGCTGGAAATGCACATGAAGTTGCGTTAAATGAATTGAGGTAAATGAGAGACAGCCGCCTTCTTCCAAGTAACTTCTAGTACGCCTATCTGTTGTAGGTTTAGCATTCTTGGGGTGCTCGTTTCATCCTAAGTGCCTATATTTACATGTGCAATGGATATGATGTTGATGTAGGTTGACACTTATCTTCACGAAATTGCTGAAATAAGTCTGCGTAGGAATACGCTTTTCTTGCCAAATTTACTAGTGGTATCCAGTAGAGGCAAACCTAGTGGTATGATATAACATCGATTCTTCTAGTGAATAGAAGGGGAAATTGCTGCATATCCTATGAAATTGAAGCGGAAGACCACAGGACTTAAAATCACTAGCGTTCCCTTTCCAGCAAATTTGGTTGATTAGAACAAATAGTAAGTATCAAGATAATTTCAGTTGTGTACAAACAGATGCTTCGTATTTCACTTCAAATATGGTTTTCAACCCCTCCCACACACTTCAACGTCCAGTCAAATGGGATAATATCCCAACTAAAAGATGCAACTTGATTTTTGTCCGGCGATGCAGGTGAGCAATCTGATGATAAATTTACTGCACTGTTAAGTCATTGTAGGTGTATTATCATATAACATTTCTTGTGGTTAGCAAAGTAACAGAAACTCATCGTTGACAAATAGTGACACTTAGTGTAAATATAAATAATATAAACAAACATAAATAGTGTCATTTACGCTAGCTTATTTCTATCCACCGGATATCAATATATCAATATCTATAGTTATTTGTTTCTCAAACTTAAAAGAACGTTTCTTGTAACCACAAAACAAGAAAGCCTAGCTGAAAGTACGTAAATTTTCAAAGCACCCAAATTAGGACGCTTCCTTTAAATCTCGAATTTTTCTTATGAATTGTTTCTAAAACTGTATCTAAGGTAAAACGGATATTTCAACATGTTGCGTATGCTAAGATCTCTATTTCTGACAGTTATGATTGATATAACTACCGTTTACCACGATTATAGCTTTAGTTCAAGACCTAAACCACTTACTAGTTATTTTAGAATAGGTTTTCTTCGTTTCGCAGACAACATTTTAGTAGTAACTATGCGTTAAACGATATATATATATATATATATATAGCCGTAAACCCCTTAACAAGCCGCTTGAGTACGCAATATACAAAATTTGAAGCAGAACTGTATTCTGGACTGCTAGCAGACTAAAAATCCTTGCAATGCAGTAACTCAAAATGCCCAAAAAGTTAAAAGTTACAAGGACCGTAAGGGATTTCAAGAGTATTAACTGCTGAAGCTCACCTAGATAATTGACAACCATCTAATCTTTTTTATAAAGGAGCCGTTTAAAGCAACTAATTTTCGAAACCTTTAGACCTGAATCCTATTGAGTATCCTTCGGTTTATCTTATGGAAATCCTTCGCGGATCTTTTTGAACTTGCATTACAACTAGCAATAATGTAGACTGTTTATATTGTGGTAAACAAGTTTTTAATCCTAGCAAATATTAAGTGCAAACATATTTTACAATAACCTATCTTTGGCCAATTGCGAAAACGACGCGCGGTGTTCCGTCATGGAGAGTTTGATTCTTTTGTTTTTTTTTGAAAGACTGGTTTTTTTCCCTTTACCAAGGATTGTATATAAACACACATCCACCAGGACAAACAGTCTGCCAAAACTGGATCAGACTGAGCACCCTATGTGTTTCACACGAGACGATTGCGTGACATCCTAGAAGGTCACTTTACTCGGTGTACTGGGCTCAGCCCAAGCTTAGCAAAAGATGTCGATTTAGTTTAAAGCGTTTGTAAATATGTGTGTTACTCGCGTTGTGTCGTTCGACTTATCGTCTGTGCTCGTATCATTGTCGCGCACATAATATAGCCTCAGCCTCTTAAAAGTGTCATCGAATTTTTGCCGAAACTTAAGTTTCCGATTAGAAACTTTCAAAATTTTTCAAAAGTCAATAACCTCGAGTACCCAAGTTTAGCCGAAAAATATGTCCATGTTAGTCAGTTATGTTTCCATTTAAGCCTAGATATAATCTAGAGTGCTTAAGAGGATAGGAAACGAATACAATTTGCATATATTGTTGTCAAAGTAATATGTTATATCCTATCATGGTACATGGTGTGAGCTTGTCTATGAATAGTCACACCTTTATAAGCTGTCCTCGAAATCTTATCAGAAAAACTGTTTAATTAAGAAAAATTTGTCTAGCGTTGTCAGTCGCTTAATTGCAGATTTCCATAATACCAGCTTGAAAAAATATAAATAATATAGACAAGAACAACTAGTAATTTTTTTATCCGTAATTATAAACATCTAATCGAACCAGATTCGTTTGGCGTTGGCTGGCGGTAACGAGTGTTTCACAGCACTCGTTTTTATCTTGTGGTCGCAGACGTGTATTTATCCATAGATTGATTTTGCATTTCCTTTGTTACAACTTCTTACAGTTCTCTGACGAAATATTCGCATTCCGAAGTCAATATCCTCTAGAGGTCAGTGGGGACAAATTTACATGGCCCTACCTGGCACGTTAGTACGCGTCATGGCCGCGTACGAATTTACGTGCTTCAGCTTATATTTCCGTCCGAAAAATAACACGCCAGCAGTCGACGTACAGCACTGTTTCATAAAGTATGCCTTCGATGGGAGTAAACCTATTGACTGTTCACCTTTTTTGCAAGACCAACGACTAGCGGGTTAATACGCCATTATTTACGCACTAAGGATGCTCTTAAAAATACCACTAAGCACACGGCTTCGAAACCTCGCAGCAAGGTTTTCGAGCCAACACAATTGGAGACTGCTTATCTTACCTCGGCAACTCCCAACTACCTACTCATTGACCTTGCGTACTGATACGCTCTCTTTCAGCAGCACAACAACAACAATTGCCGTTCCATTGTTACTCGGTACGATTCCAGATGTGGGCATATTTCTCCGATATATAAGCTAGAACCAACTGAACTAACTCGGCGTATGAATACGACGCTAGCCACTATGGTGAAGTTCGCGAATGTAGCCGATCTCACGGCTCTTCGGACGTTGGGCAAGGTTATGCTAAACTTAAGCTTGACTTTCAGCTCTTCTGCCAGTGTTCGTTGAACAAAATTGCTCGAATGTCTTGCCATTCCTGCTGTGACGGCAATGGAACCGTTTCGGCGAATTGGCCTTCGTTGGGGGCAAACGCTTGTATAGCTTCACTCTTGAGCCTTCACGTCTCTTCAACACCGGCCATAAAATCGCAGCAAATGCGGGCCACTCGTGGCAAATTCCTGTACGCCCGCTTGTCGACGATTGTCATCTCTGTTCCTCCGTATGGCATGCGTACTCATCAAGCATTGCGCCCGATGGAGATGACTGTTCGACGGGAGGAAGTTCAAAGCTATTATCCAGCAGCTCCTACACAATTCCGGCGATATCGCCATCCATCCCACTGCTTTTACAGAAAGAAAGTGAACCGGCTTCGCTTTGTCGGTGGGTGGTAAGAACAAGCGCTTCACAGCCATTCCATTCGATTTTATATAAGCGTGCATCACACTTTTCTTCACAGTGCCAAAAAGGATAAATATGGGATTATATATTTTACTGTGTCAAAGGCACAGCAGCTTTTTAGCATCTCCATGCTTAATGTATTACACATAGCGTCATAGAAACGCACACAACTGTAAAGTTTCTTTAATTGCATACTAAACCAACCGTCTGTGCTTTATAAATTATATCAGTCTGACTGCCCACTGTTTATTTTTGCCTTCTTTATTAAGATATTTACATTGAGATGAAATAGAACAGATATGTTCTCACTTGATTTTATAGAACTCTATGCTCTGTTCACTCTTGTGAAGCTAAAATGGCTAAAATTCTTTGGTCCCTGATAAATGTCAAGTATATAAATAACACCATTAAAAAATTAATTCTGGAAAAACATTAACGGTTGAAAGTCATCGGGAATGAGTAAGACGAAGCAAAGAGTGAACGGGGACAGTGCGTTGTTAGATGATTGTACTACTGAAGCAAATATATAGGCAAGATATAACTAATAGTCCTTAAAAATGATAGGTTTGTGCACCGCGTGGCCTAAGAAGACAACGAACCGCTTTCAATAAAGAAAGTCACTAGTGGGAGCTCCCTAGAGCTTGGTAGCATGTATGAGGGAAATTATAATTTACTTTTTTTTCGCGAGGATTCATATTGATTTAATGCATAAAGCCACTAAAGTAGTAATGCACACACGAAGCTAACAATTATTCTACGACATTACACAATATACATGGAGGCAGTTGTTATCAGCGTATTGGCTAAACTTTTCGGAACGGCATTAAGAAACCTACAAATAGATCATAAGAAGATTTGAAACAATTGTGTGCAGAAGTTAGGGGATAATTTTGGATCTTTGCTATTTAGCAAATTATGTATTGTTCTTGGGAGCTATTATACAGTTTTGCATTTTTGTATTTGTCTAAATAAAGAGGCAATTACCTTTTTCCTAAGTATTCACGCAGTAATAACATCTGCTACGTGCTATGTATGAATGTTAGACATCAGCTTTAAAACGCCTTTCATATTAATCTTTCCAATTATATTTGC